GACCTGAGCCAGCAACTTGGCTCCATGAGTAAAATCAGTTACCACCAAGCCTGATGACTTGAATTTGATCCCTGGGACCCAGATAGTTAAAGGAAAGAGAGTCCCAAAAGGCTTCTTCTGAATATGTGCGCACCCAATTAATAAATAAAACTAAAATGCCAGGCATGCTCTTATGTGCCTATAATCTCAGTGTGGAGGAAGCAAAGACAGTTGGCTACTTGGGCTCACATTTTTGGCAGCAAGTCCCAGGCTGCTGAGAGACCTGTTTCAATAAAACAGAATTGACAGAGGCTGCCAGAATGACTCAGGGGTAAGAGCGCTTACGTCCTTCCAGAGGATCTGGGTTTGATTCTTAGCAGCCATGGAGTAGGCCACAGCCATATGCAGCTGCATTTCCTGGGGATCCAAAGCCCTTTTCTGACTTCTGCAGGCTCATGCACACACATGGTGTATAGACATACAGTTGGGCACCTACACATTAAATAAGTAAATACTAAGACAGAACAAAACCCAACATGGATGGCCTCTGATGAATGATACCCAAGGTTGATCTCCAGCTTCTACACAACATGGCCACCCAAATTCATGTGCACTCACACACACTCACACGTATATTCAAATACACACAGAAAGCCAGTTTTAGAATTGAACAGCCTAACAGTCTAATCCAAAGATACACTAATTTGACACATGGTAAGGAATGATGGTTAAAAAAAAAATACTAAAAATGTGGGGTTTTTGTAATTAAGTTTTTCTAAGAGCAGAAACACTTAATAAAAACATCAGTTCCATAACCCAGGGTAGTCGTGAATCCAAGGCTGGGTGTGTCGGACACTTTTGGCACCTGTGTTGTGATAGCATGAGCAGTCTGACATGCCAAGCTGTGTGTTCTGAACCAAGGCAGCAGTAAAGGCCCTCCGTGCAGCACAGGCGAGCACTGCCAGAAGCACCTTGAATTCCCAATGCATTTAAGTTTGAATTACTTACTGTGTATTTTGCTAAATTTGTCATGAAGACTCCCACATTCAGTTATGTGGCCCCACAGGGAGTCCTGATTCAGAGTTTAAGAAACTGGATTCTAGAGGTGTAGAGGAGTTCTTTGGCTGGTGAGGGTAGAGAATGGCTGTGACTTGGTTGTCAGGAACCAAGGGAGAAACGAGAACAGGAGATTGCTTGGTGGTTAGGAACATTTGCTGCTCTTCCAAAAGGTCAGTGTTCGATTCCCAGTACCAGGTGGCTGTTCACAACTGCCTGAAACTCCAGTTCTGCAGGATCCAGTGTCCCCTTCTGCCTTCCATGGGCATAAGGCAGTGTGATGCACAGACACCCATTCAGGCAAACACTAACACATGGTACCGGGTGGGTGGGGACTAGAAGGATGGCTCAGCAGTTAAGAGCACTTGTTCTTGCAGAGGACCTGGCTTGATTCCTAGAACCCACATGGGTGCTTACAGCCATCCATACCTCCAGTTCCAGGGGTCATGACCCCCTATTCTGACCTACATGGGCACTAGCCACACATGTGTTGCACAGACATAAAATAAATTTAAAGGAAAAAAAATGAAAAAATGGGATGGAGGGGGGAAAATAGAGAAACTTGGGAAGAGTATGGGGCAAGGGTGAGGACATGAAGCTTGCTTTAGGGGGTGTCTCATAGTATTATGTCTGGAGGTGAGGCCCCTAAGCTTCCTGTCTTCCTGGGTGTCCACTTGGCCTGGGCTTGGGCTGGCTGTTGCTGGATCTGCGCATGTGGCCACATCTGAAATATATGGAGAGACAGGAACGGTAGCTGAGGTCAGAGTCAGTTTTAGAAACTCAGCACTGCTCTGGATAGGCTGCTTCTGATCTTGGTGAGAGCTCTGTACCAAACCTGGAGGACTGTGGTCTGGATCTGCCACCATCGTGGACAGGTCCTGTGACTTTGGGCATCTCTTCTCAGTTTTCTTTGACAGCCATTTCTGAATTATCTACACCCCCCCCCATGTTGAACTGAGAACCTAAGATAGGCACTCCTGTGACACCTCACTTCTGTGCCAGGGTTGGGGTGGGGCGGAGAATTCTTAGCATCCCCGGCAGGGGAGTGGAGTGGGGTGGGATGGCAGTACTTGTGACCTAAACCAGTATTGGCCCAAATCGATTATGCTTCTCAGGAATGCTTGCTGGCCCACCTGAAAGTCACTCCCTCCAGCCCCCAGACAGGGTTTTTCTGTGTAGCCTTTGCTGTCCTGGAATTCACTTTGTAGGCCAGGCTGGCTTCGAACTCAGAGCTCTACCTGCCTCTGCCTCCTGAGTGCTGGGATTAAAGGTGTGTGCCATTATGCCTGGCTATGAGAACTATTCTTTAATGGGGAGGCCAGAGTTCATCTTGTCCCCCACCTGCTCCTGCCTGTATGTCTGTCCTCTGCCTGTGCTCTCTGCTCTACGCAGCATCCAGCTGGGGGTCTTTACTGGTTGTCTGTAGACAGCTGCTGCACCTGCTCGCCAGATGGCTAGGAGGTTTTAAAATGTCACTTGGATATGTGAATGTTTTCTTAGGTGTTAATGAGTAACTTGGCCCTTGCTGAGGCCCTTGAGTGTTTCTGGGACTCCTGGAGGTGGCGGCAGCCTGGCTCTGGCTGAGTTTAACCTTGCCCTTGGTTAGGAAGGGGCGTGGTGTGGGCAAAGCTACCCTTCTAGGGGTGGGTCCTCCAGGAGAGAGGGAGGTGGTGGTGCTACCAGCCTACCACAGGAAAGCTGAACATCCTGCTCTACCACCTCCATCCCAGAGAGCAGTTTACCAGCCCCTTCCTTTGGGCAAGCACTTCTGGGGTTTGCTGTTGGTAGAGGACTTTTTATTAGAATATTTGCTTGCTTTTAATCCCTGCACTTAGGTGACTGAGGCAGGTGGATTTTGATGCGTTTCAGGTGGGCCTAGTCTCCACTAGTGGGCTTTAAGCCAGCCAAGCCTACATAGTAAGACCTTGTCTCAAAAACAAAAAGGAAAGAAATCTAGTGGCTTTGTGGGCTAGCCTTTTAGTCAGGAAAGGACCCCATGTTAGCTCAGCCTTTTGAGGCCCCACCCCACCCTATGAACACTCAGACATTGCTAACTTGTTTCTCAAGCCTGAACCTCTGTCTTTTTCCTTCAACCACACACTACCTTTGCTCAAGTTATACCCTGGGAATACCTTTCCCAGTCCTGTTTCTCTGTCCCCAGGAACCCAGATTCTCCCCTCCTCACCCCTGAAGAAGCATGTTGTTTGTTTCCTTTCATCCCTACTGCCTTGTGAGACTGAGCTGCATTGGGTTGGGGAAGGAGAGTCTCTTGGTGTGTTAGGGAAGGCTTTCAATGAGCCAGGCCCCATAGGTCATATGGCCAAGGAATGGCAGTGTCTGTCATTGCCCAGCTTCTCCAAGGTGAGCTCTGGTAGACTGTAACATGAAACAGATGTTATCCCAGGGAGGCAGCAATGGTACAGGACTTTCTAGGAGAGGAAGCGCAGACAGCTACTTAAAATCCAGTGCCAGGGGGTTAGAGAGATGGCTCAGTAGTTAAAAGCACTCAGTAGTTAAAAGCTCTTCCAGAGGACCTGGGTTCAATTTTTAGCACCCACATGGCAGCTCATAATGTCTGTAACTTTAGTTCAATAGCTCTCATTCCAAATGCCAATGCACGTAAAATAAAATTAAACTAAATATTTTTTTAAAAAGAAAATGTTTGTTTAAAAAATAAAAACCCAGTGTCAGCCTAAACATACTGTCAGCCATGACAAGAGACTGCAAGTAGAACCCTCCAGGTTTCTTCTCAGAACCACACCAGCAAGAGTCCACTGCCAGTAAAAAGTGAGTTTGACATTTTCTAGAGGGCTAGCCTTGGCATGCAGTCTTCAAATCCTAGACCTTGGTTCACGCCCTGGGCCTTTGGTGTGGCTCCATATATTTATTCCTGCCCATATGTGCACATATAACTATGGTCAGTTTGTCCAGCCACAGTGATGCTGGGAAGCAGAGGACCTGGGAGCACTTCCTCCTGCAGTAGACAAAAGCAGCCCTGGTGGTGCCCTTAAGTTATGGTCTTGGGGGCCCTTGGACCACAAGCATACTGTCTCTAGGCTTAGGTAAACATGTCTTACATAAACTGGGGTGGGGACCAGATTTAGGGGCTGCCAAGATGGCTCAGTGGGTCAGAGTGCTTGCCACCAAGCCTGTCAACCTGAGTTCACTCCCGTATGGTAAAGGAAGAGACCAGTTCCTGAAATTTGTCCTAACCTCTTCAGGCTCCTGGAAGTTGTCCTCTGATCTCCAAGTGCACTATGGCACACATGTACATGTGTGCACACAAAGAACAAAACAATTTAAGAACCAGATTTCGAAGAAAAGTTTCCCATACACCTGTTAAATGAGTTTTTTTTTTTTTTTTTTTTTTTTTTTACCTCCATCTCCCTTAGTACATCACAGACCTGGGCAGAGAGCCTTGTTCCAAGCCTGGTCCTGAGTTAGATTATTTCCAAAGGGATCCAGATGGGTCTTTCTGGAGAGGAGTCTGGGCTGGAAAGAATGCCAAGAGTTCTGAGTTCTTATTCTGCCCTAGTTGTTGCTGACCATCTTCATCTCCTGTAGCCCAACACATGGTGCCATCCAGATCCATGAAGGTGGCAAGTGGCTGGCCAAGCCTGACCAGCTCCATTCTTGCCATCTAAGACCTTCTAGCTTGTCTTGTGGCCAGGGACCAGGCTGGGATCATGGAGGGTGTGGCTGTTTTTGAATTTAATTTTGAGACAAGGTCTCACTGTGTAGCCCTCACTGGCCTGGAACTGGCTCTATAGACTAGGCTGGCCTGGAACTCACAGAGATCCAGGGCTCTGGGAGGGTTGTAGAGATTTAAATACTGCCTAGGGAGGGTGGCCTGCAGGAGCCACCTGATTGTAGCTCTGATTGTCTTGTCCACAATAGCTTCCCAGGTGACCCGAACTCCTGCAGGAGTGTTCATCTGAGTTGTGACTTTCTTTCTTTCTTTACAGGATAGGGAAGATGGGGAGCCACAGACTAAGCAGCTCAGAGAAGAAGAGGAAGAAGATGGGAAGCACAGGTAGAGCCTCTGTGGGGTTCTCCTCAGCCACACCGCCCTACTCTCCCCACCTGCGTCTTCTCAGAGCTGCGTTCCGGGCTGGACATTGCTCACATGACTGCCTTATTCCGACCTGAAAAGATCAGCCCTGTCACCAGTTAGGACTGTCCCTATAATCCTTCCTCGCTTCCTGTTTAGCTCAGTGGTTATAACCATAGGCCTTTCTATGCCTGCCCCAGATCTGAATAATGACATGGAGACTTATATTTAATTATAATAACTTTAGGCCTTAGCTTACTCCTGTTCCTAGCTCTTATAACCTATGTTAACACATTTATATTAATCTGTGTTCTGCCACGTGACTCGCTACCTCTCCTCAGTTTCACATGTCCAACTTCCTCTATGTCTCGAAGGCAGATTCTGCCTCTTCTTTTCCCAGAGTCCCTGTATCTGCTGGAAGACCTGCCTTCCTCTCTTGCCTTTGCTATAGGCCATTCAGCTCTTTATTAAAACCAACCAGAAGGTGTTGGAGAGTGTTTACAAAGTGATAATACCAAAGTCCAGCCTATAATCGGTTCTCTGTCAGTACAGAAACCAGCATTTGAATATACAAAGACAGTCTTTACACAGTGCGTAAACAGATCACCCCAACAGTGGTTCTCAGTCTTTGTAACGCTGTGACCCTTAAATAGAGTTCCTCATGTAATGGTGACCCCCCCCCAACCATAAAGTTATTTTGTTGCTACTTCATAACTGTAATTTTGCTACTGTTGTGACTCATAATGTAACTATCTGTTTTCCAGTGGTCTTAGGCCACCATTGTGACCCACAAGTTGAGAGCCACTGGTCTAGCTGCTAGCTTGTGTTGCATTCTACCTGTGCATTACATCTTTCAGTCCTGTCATGCAAAAGTAGCTCCCAGTTCTCTACCAGTGTGTAGAGAACTGGGATAGAGTTCTCTACCGTGTGGTCTGACGATCGACTCTACCAGTGTGTAGAGAACTGGGGTAGAGTTCTCTACCGTGTGGTCTGACGATCGACTCACACTGCCTTCTCAGCCTGCATTCATTCTTGTTTCTTTGGTTGTTGAGATGGGGACTCTTACAGCGCAAGCTGGCCTCAGCTATGTAGCCGAGACAGGTCTTGAACTCATGATTCTTCTGCATTCACCACTCAGGTGCTAGGATTACAGGTGTGCAGTACCCTCCCAGCTGGGAGTCGCTCTGACACTCACAGGTGTGCACCACTGTTCCCAGCTGGAAGTCACTCTCTGACACGTGGAGCTTGGCTCAGAGGCTATTTCATCCTTCTCTTTGCCTTCATTCACTTTATATAATTAGAGCATTTGCCTTACTTTATGAAACACTGTGTCCGGTTGAGTTGGTTTAAATGAACTATGCTCAACATGTAGAATGGGCTTGACCAGCCTTCCCTCATGACCGCAGGCATGAGGTCTTCCCTCGTAACTTGGAAGTACACTCCACAGAGTTCCCATGTTGCGTTGCTTCAAAAAGATTCTGGGAATGCTGAAGGACATGTAGAGCAGGGAAGAGCTGTGCCACTGGTCCTATGGGCCAGGACAGCCTGACTTCCCAGAAGTCCCATGCCTACCCTGTCCTGCTCAGCTCTGAGCTGGGGTGTGGCTGCAGTTAGACTCTGCATTTTTTTTAAACAGATGCCTTTATTTCCTCTGCCCTGGACAGCTTCCTGCTTGTATAGGTACTGCTGCTTGGAAGATAGGTCTTGGTGTAGAAGGTAAGGATGGCTCTCTGGGCAGGCAGAGGAAGCCGGGCTGGAACACTGGAACAGGCCCTTCCTATCACCACACCCCTTAACCAGGAATGTCTCAGAGCAGGCCCTCATCTCTGTCTTTTTCATCTCCAGCATCAGTTAGGAAGTCCTTTTACGTCATCTTGTTGGCAGGCCTTCAAGGTCCTTGTTATCTCTCTTGGGTTCGGAACATGGCAGTGGCTCTTTTCTGTGAGGTCTTATGGTGGTAGAGTCAGCTCTACACTGTGCTCTGTGGTTTGGGGAGCCCCTAGCACCTCGAGGTCTCTTTGCCAAGTGCCCCAAGACTTGTATTATTTTGGGGTTGGTACCTGCATTGTCATCCTCATTCTCAGTTACTACTTAGAAGCCAGGAAGTTTATGGGTTCTAGATGGAGCCTTGAGTCTCATTTCTGGAATGTCTCTGATACACTGGATGGTCTCTTCTCATCCTTGCTGAGAAAGAAGGGTCACTGGTTAGCAGTAGGCGGGTTGGTTAGTAAGAGACTCAGCTGTTAGGCTGCCGTGGGCTGAATCTCAGAGATGGTGCTGCAGCAAAGGGAAAGTTCAGGATTGAGACTCAAATTTAGAAATGACACATGATGCTACCCAGTTTGTACCAACTTCACAGCATACCTGCTGTGTGCCGTGCAGGACGGCGCCGCTGCAGGGAGACAGGTGGGTGGTGGCGCTCCCTAAAGGGACACAGGCTGTTTACAAGAGGAAGTGTGATAAGCTGCTAGGTACTGTGAAGAACAGTGTGAGCACATAGGAAGCAATGGCTGCAGATTAACACTGGTGAAGAGGCAAGGAAACCGGGTCCAAGATGGCATTAACTGAATGGAATGTGTGTTTTATTTTTAAACACAGACCAAAGGGGAGGGGGCAAACCCATGGCACAGTATAGAAAAATGTGGCTTTTCTTTCTTTTTTCTGGTGTTTTGAGATAGGTTTTTCTCTGTGTCGCCTTAACTAACTATGCTGGACTCACTCTGTAGACCAAGCTGTCCTTGAACTCACAGAGATCCACTTGCCTCTGCCTCCCAGGTGCTGGCATTAAAGGTGTGTGCCACCACACCTGGCAAAATATGCCTTTTCTTGACTCAGGGAAGGTGGGGACATAAGTTACAACCTTCTTCCTAACTGTGAAAAAGAGGACAGGAATGCTTGGTTCCAGGTTGCTGTCCTGTGAGGTTTTGTCAAGGCCCTTCTCACGCTCTAGTCCAGAGCATGAGACTTACGTCCTTTTGTCAGAACAGCTGAGGTCCAAGCACAGTACACAGCGGCTTAGGTTCTGTTTTTCTCTCCTCTCTGGAGCTGTGAGCATGGTGCAGCTTGTTTGGCTTGGAAATGGAGGCCAGTTAGCAAGGAATTGCACCTGCCTTTGCAGCTCCCAGAAAAAAAGCAGGCTCTTCTGAATGGAATGTTCAGAGCATAGGGCTTGACCCAGGAAGGCCAGGCTGAGTCTTGGTCACAGTTAGTACAAGGCCAGACCCTTGGGCTGGACCCTAGACTATGGTGTGCAGGGCTTGAACTCTCCAGGAAGAGCAGGATGAAGCAAAGGGCAAGTACCCCATGCAGAAAGGGCTCTAGCAAGATGGATTTCAGCAGATCCAGACAGACCCCCCAGGCCCTTAGGGAGAGGGTGACCTGATAGAGGGCTGGCCCCTGAGGCTGGTCACAGTTGGGCGCTTTGGAAGTGAAAACAGACTGCTTCAGTCCAGGTGAACTGGAGGAAGCCTGGGAGACAGCAGCCCTTTGAGTATCCTGTGGAGAACAGTGACTACTTAGGCCAAAGCCTTGAGGAGAACATGCCTTGAGTTAGGCATGAAATTCCGAGGGCTGAATTTAGGTAGTCAGGCCCAGAGCCCTGAACCTTCAGGGTGAAAAGGTAGGTGATAGAAGCCCTGGCTGGGAAGACAGACAGCGCTTCAATTTCTAGGACGTCTACTCACGAGCTGCAACCCCAGTGTCAGTGTGGGTCCACCCTAGGAATGACACTGAGGGACTTACAGAATCTGTGTCTGAGCTCCGCACTGCATGGGACAGGACTAAGCTGTGCCTGGTGCCTTCTGACTCAGACTCTCATGGGGAGGAAAAGGCACTCTTTCTCACCTTCCTTCTCCACTTCTCTTTGGCCCTGACCTAGAGACTCGTCCCTAGCCATCGCATCACACGCCGCCACCAGCTCTGACCTCTAACTCCAGATGGTCCCAGGGACCTGCTGTCCATGAGCACCTGAGTGCTGGCAGAGAGTGAGATCCGCCTGCACCATTGACCCTGTAGGAGACACTTGGCTGGCAGCCTGTTGATTTGTTTATGCAGGTCATCATGCACTTAAAAAAAACGGAGGCCCTGGAATAGTAGGACTCGAGCAGATTGAGTGGACTGGGGTTTGAAGGTCATATCTAGGTTAAGGGTCATGGCCTATAAATTATAGCTCTTTGCCCCTAGGGTAAGTCACACTGCCTCATCTGAGCTTCGGTGTCTTCATCTGAACAATTGGAAGTGGAAGAACACTTCCTTCCCCTGACGGGGAACTAACACTGTAGCTGCTTTCCTAGCCATGCTGGGCTCTGAGCAGCAACAAGACACTCGGAGGGCCGCCCTCCTGAGAGGGTTACCTACATGCAGAGTTTGAATCCACCTACGTAACTCCTAGCGAACACATTCGCTATCTTTACAGCTAGGACAGTAGCTGGGTAACAGCAAGGTGGGAAGGTGGGTACATGGGAGTAGAAATGTGTGACCAGAGAGAGAGGAGCCAGTACAGAGCCTCACTCACTTGGCAGATTAGACAGTGCTGGAAGTAAGCCGAGTGGCCTCATTTCACAGATTGAGCTGTCCAGTCAGGGTATGCAGCCCAGGAGCGCTGTGTCTGGCACCCTTGAGGCCCTGCCCTCGATTCCCAGCCATGCTGGTTCTCATGGCCTGCCCAGGGTGCAAGATCTGCCTTCTTCCTAGCTCCTGTCGCCCATAAGACTTTTTCCAGAATTGCTTTGGCTATTCCAGTCCTTTCTTTCTTATAAACTTTACACTCAAATTGGACGACCTGGCACTTCAGCACTTGCAAGGCTGAGGCAGGAGGATTATTGTGAGTTTCAGACCACCCTGAGCTACAGCATGTCTGCAAACTTCCCTCTGCCCCTGCCTTGTACAAAGGCACATCACAGGTTAAGTACGTGTTGCTCCATTGTCTGGTTGGCCACAAGGCTACTCCCACATTCAGGCTGTAGGTGTCCCTTTCACCAGGC